AATTTTAAGCAATTATAAAAAAATATAAAAAAAATATTCTAGCGGGTATATTTAGCTGCTGGACGGTTTAAGGGATACTAATATGTATAGTAGCCCAAAATGTGTGCTATTATACTAATACATATAATATCCCAAAATGTGTATGACTATAGACATGTGCAACAATACTAATACGATACATGTAATAGAATTAATCAAATCCCAAACTCATTCCAAATCCCAAATCCCAATCCCAAATCATAATTCCAAATCTTGTCTTTGGAATCTGGAGTTTCCCAAAAAAACTTTTTTCTTTACTAAACAAATCTTCTTTTAACTTCTAAGTAAAGTTGTGGAGAAGTGTCTTGTGATTAGAATAATAGTTAAAACATTAAAATTGGTCTAGTAGATCACAAGATATAAGTATTTTAGTCTTCACGTCTATATATTTTTTTTAAAAATAATTTTCACAGTTTCTTAAGAATTAGAATAAATACGTGGATTATTCTCAAATAGATCAGTCCGGTATAGAAATATTCGGAAAAAATTAAGACACAGTGTGTTCTATTTTAGTTCACCAATCAAAATATTAGATTTTTCTAACGTTACTAACCTATCGCTATTAAATATGTTTATGAAATTAGATTAGAAAAAAACTTTTGTAATACCAAATTTTCATGAGAAAAACTTTTTGTTAGTGTGCAGAAGGCAGTTTCATAGTTAAAATATTGAGTTATAAGTAATTTTGAGTACAGTAAAATTTTTTAGCTTGGAATAGTAGTTTATTAATATTACTAATTATAATTCTGGTCCAAAAATTGCAGATCATTTGACCAGATTTTAAACTGTTTTGTTCTAGATCTGGCCAAATATTAATTAAGGACACAGTGTGTCTTGTACAGTCTGCTGATATTTCAAATTTGAACAATACAAATTGCTCTTTTTATGGTATAGACATATTGACTAGAATATTTCAGATTATAAAATTGTATTATACTAAAATATATAATATTTCACTGTGTCACTAACCTTGCTAACAGGCTGATAATAGAAAATTTTATATGTTAGGTTTAACGTTATACTATCAAAAAAATCATGATATGGGTGTCATGATTTTTTGTCAATCACAAATTTGATTGGACAAAACATTTTGATTAGCTAACATCATACAAAAAAATTATGACATGCCATGTCCTTTTTGTGACCAATTAAAATTTTATGATCTTATTTATTTTGATCAAATCAAAAGTCATGTGACATTCAAGACACGGTATGTCCACAAAGATCTTTATTGATATTCATATAAATATATAAATAATGTTTTCTTTTGAATTTTTTAAATATAGATGCCAACAACAAATATCCATTATCTAATGAATTTTTGTCACTTGTAAAATTATTAACTATTGCTTGCCCGGGTGTATTAAAAGCTATTAAATTTAATGATGGATTTATAACCATTAAAAGTACTATTACCAAACAAACAAGAACAAATAGAATGTATAACGTTACAAATCACTATGAATTAGGTACATTGAACAAATCACAACAGACAGAAAAGATTGAAAAGATAATTTTAAGAGTTGCGGTATGTCAAATTATGTTGAATTATGTTTATTGTTTTAAATTGTTAATTATTACAAACTTATAAACCAAATTAATTTAGGAATTAGAAAATGAAATAAAAATTTAAGAGATGCTTTTGAAATTTCAAATTATAATCAACGAATGATAGAACTACTTACGATTTACTTTTTCTAAAAAATTTTTATGTATTATTAATTTTATGTTTATTTTATTTAGAAAATTCCTATTATTTCAAGTTCATCCACGCACCCACCGCTTATTGAAAATAGATCAATTTTATCAAATCAAAATTTATTAAATTTGGATAAATTATTGTCTAAATTAAATATTGAACAAGATGATTTCGACGAATATACATGAGAAAAGATAAATTCTCAACTTGAAACGATATTTGGTCAGAATGATAAATTAAAAACAGAAATTAAAAATAGAGTTAAAACTAAATATTTACAATTAATACTAGCTTTGCAAAATTCAAAATTTTCAAAATTTCCTGTTAATTCATAGAAAGAAAAGGCTATAAATACCTTCGGTAATTATTTTATATATTGTATTGTTATATAGAAAAAATAATCAAAAGAATAATTCAAAAATTGTTTCAAATAGATCATTCTGTAATACTACATTTAGAAAGTTCTGATATTTAGAGTGGTAAATTTTAATTATATTAGGATTTGAAATATGTTGTAAACTAGTTATAGATATTTAGTTATTTATTGTCATGTCTGCGAAATATATTTTTAGATCATTTGTTACTTTCTAATAAGTCTGAATCTTCCAAAACAATCGAAGTTGATATCAGACAAGACAAAGAAAATAAAAAAAGAAAGAAAGGTAATTTTTTTAAATTTTTAATTAATTTGGTTTATTTTAAATTGATTTATATAATTATAAATTTATTTAGTGTGGAAGAAAAAAGATTGGAAAACAATTGCTCAAAAAATACTTAATCTGAAATCAAGTAAACCTCTTCAGAAAAAACAAAATAATCTATCGTTAAATTCTGATTTGATTAATGATAGCGATAAATTTGATCAGTATATGCCTATATTTAGTGATACTATTGAATCCATAAAAAACAGATATAAAAAGTGGAAAGAAATAGAGGCCGGTATAAAGATATTAGAGATAAGACTTAATTATTTCTGATTATATTATTTTTACAAGTTATTGGAAGCATACATTTTCTTATATAATTTGGCTATTAAAGAAATACCACATGACATAGATTCTTCAACGTTGAACAAAAAATTAAGGAAAGAATTTCTCTTGGTGTCGGAACGAGCAAAACAGCAATAAGGAAATGGATTAGAATTCGAATATTGCAAATTCTTGGTGTAGATACTGATAAATTGGAAGAAAGAATATTTAAAGCATTATTGCGTATCAATTTTATACTTACTAATGGAATTTTGTCAAAAGAAGAACTTGTCATTGTTGGTGCAATACGTAGATTCTTTAAATCTTCTATCAAGGTTGAGTTTATTGCTTTTTTAACTAAAATTACTGGCAGGAATTATATTCAAGAGTTTGAATATTATTTAAATAAAAGTTTAAGTAGCTATAATATATCATATTGAAATAGAAATAGAACCAATATTTGTAAGTTATTACCTTAAAGGTTTATTGAATAAAATAAAAGATTATTATAGCGAGTTTTGCTCTTTAAAATTTATGCATAATAATCTAAATATTAATAAAATCATTTGTTAAACATTGAACCAATGACCTGAAAATAATTATTAAACTATTTTAAAAACAACATTTTCTTATAGTTATAGAATTATGTTGGATAGCCAAATTTCAACTTATATAAAAAATTGCAGAAGTTATAATTTTCTTACAATTTTTCTGTAGTTCTGGTGTTTATAATGAGTAGTTATTATAGTAAATCCTGATATAGGTAGTATCAAGATTTTGATATTGGGCTTTTGAATATTAAGATTTATATATCAGGTTTTGTATATTAAGATTCTGTAGTATAATTCATCTT